TTCTCAAAATATTTACATTTAATATACAAATTTAATATTGATATGAAATTCTTATTAAATATTATGTCAAATTCTTATTAAATATTATATCAAATTCTTATTAAATATTATATCAAATTCTTATTAAATATTACCGGTATATCAAATTCTTATTAAATATTACCGGTAGATCAAATTCTTATTAGATATTACCGGTATATCAAATTCTTATTAAATATTATATCGAATTCTTATTAAATATTATATCAATATTCAACATTGAAGATTTTATGTTAATATTGTAATTAACGCATTAAAGAGATAACTGCAAAAACTTATAGAAAATGGATGAAATGATTGAATTTTTCTTGCCACGTCATGAAGCGTGGAACGATCCTCATCTTGGAACAAGATTTAAAAATTCCCAGCCAATCTTAGGTAACATCTTTTTTAAATGCGACAGTTCTGCTAATTTACCTGAACCATAGGCTCCGTCTCAGCGTCAGAACCACAAAAACAGCAGACGAAGCCGCGTGACATTGGCGGGGTTTTATCTTCACACGGGGAGGCAATTGTCGAAGGATCGCACGCTTCTATTAAAAAAAAATACAGGCAAGGTTGAGGTTAGGCACCAATAATAAAATAAACACCTTTTATTTCAGAGTGCTCTTAAAATATCCACGAATAGATGAAAAAAAAGTCTTCAAAAAAATTTTCCAGAGCGCTTCAACGATTCGTTGAGAAAATTATCTCCTCAAGCGGTGGTGAAAAATCCCAATTCCGAAGTAGGCGATTAAAGGATAAATCAAAAAGTTTCATACTGAGCACAAAGAAAATTCAATCACCATCAGAGTCGTGAATTGAGCTTTCATCCTTGTTTTCGCAGATCACGTCTTCATTGGCGGAAGGGCTGAAATCACTAGGGCCAAGATCGACGATCACCTCTTCACTAGCAACAACGTCATACAGAAAATCAGGAAAAGCAAAACTTGACGTTTCATCATCTGAACCATCCACCACATCTTCAACAGTGCTGGAATTGACGCAGGTCACAGATAAGTGTACATCCCACGGTTCGCTGAAAGAAAAGAAGGAAGGATTTCAAAGGCTTGACAACAAATACCGAAATTCTTCTAAATCCAAAAAACTGAGTGATACTTGAAATTGAATGATTTTTTTCTAAACTTTAAAGTAAGAATGGCGGAGGTGTTCTTTTCTTCATTGCTCGAAGAAGAGTTACTTAGCTAAAAGCGAATGTATTTATTGATCTGAGTCTTGAGTTTTAATCCAGATCCCCAGGGTACAGGTATGGATTATTGGCAGAATTGAACAAGCTTACTTTTGGTGGCTGTTCAATTATTTAACCTTTGTCTTTTGAACAGCTATTGTTATTTAAATCCAAAATACACTAGGATCCTCACGCCTGTTAGTTTTACGTTTTAATCCGATTTCTTTTATGCAGCGACCTTGGCTATGGTGAAATATTTTTCTTCTTCTTTCTGTTTATCGAAGAACAAAGATAACTTTCCACACACATTAAAAGCTCATCACAACAAAGACATTCGGACCAGTAAAACAAATTTGTTGTAATAAAAAATTCATAAGAAAGTGACTTATGAACTTATGGAATTAGTGACGTTGAGTCCATCAAGCGGGAACCCAAATAACGACTTCTTGGTAAGCGATTATTCGCTATACAGTAATAAGATACGCTGTAACGATATACTACTGTACATTACTGAAAAGCTGCGTATTTTCTCCTGCACTTCTAATCTCGTCTCATTGAAGATTAAAAAAATTCTTGGACTACCCATTTCACGTAAAACGTTGTTCCGAAGAAGGGTTTAGCTCAGCAATTCAGAAAACGCGCAACAAAAAAGGAGACCGGCTACACTTCCTGATAACTTTCATCTTCTCGGAAAAATACATACAATTGAATATGAAACCGAATCTGGTCAATTTGACAAAAAAACATGTTTCATGCAACATGAGAGAGAATTGATTAATCTATTTTATTCTTGCGGTCTCATTTGATCAGAAGATTACTAGGAGATAATGGAAAATCCACAATTCAGACGTAGTTTCTGCAGATTGAACAGAGCCCATTTCAGAAAAATCTAC